ACCTAAAAATTGACTGAAATCATCAAATGTCAATGACGTGACTCCGTTCATGTCGTCATAGCGATCGATAAACTGAACATGAGTAGAGCAAAAAATGCGATACATGATCGAATGTGCGCCAGCTTTTATAGGTTCGGCTCTGCCGCCTGTTTGTGTCTGTACCACAAGAAGGAACAGACTCGAAATGGAGGTTTTTCGTAAACCTCCTTCCTGCAAAAGCCACTAGTTGTTAACTGAGCAATTGATTTTGTTGAGGGAAATTCCGAAACAGTGCTTCCACCATTCACATTTCATGGCGTCACGAATTAGTGCGTTATCTTTATGCTCTCGTGATTCATTGTTTACTTTGTTTCGCTGTTGTTAATCGTTGGTGAAAATCAGCGGCTATCATTCCGTGCCAAGGGCTAATTAATGTAATGGCCCCGAACATTGTAATTAATAGGAATATTATGCCGCTGTAAGACATTCCGTAAACTGACTGTGACTGCATGAGATGGCGGACGAGTCATCATTTTTTGCTTCTCCTAGTAAGAAGAAAACTCTCTAGTTAAAGTTAAAACTTAAAAACTTATTGTTTCAGGGGCAGCAGTGACGCCGCGGAGAGAGGCAGTTTGCCTGTGTACCTCAAATGTGTGAGTTGCAATATCAGCGTGGAGTAAAAATTTATAATTAATTTCCGGTTTGCTTTAAACAGAAATTCACGTCCTTGTGCTACGATGCAACCAGTCAAGAAACAGGAAACAATTCGTTAACTTGCGAATAACAGTAATGGACTGCTTCATATTCATGACACGGTCATGCCATAGTGTGCGAGACTGACCTGCCCGCGCGGGCTGTGCTTTACATTTACTTTTGGTTCACTGCCAAGAACATAACTATTTTTTGTGGCTCCCTATATTCGCTACGTTGAAACCTGTAATCAGTCTAGAAGGTACTGTATCATTAAGTTTAAGAAACGCAATTAGGATACTTTATGCACCTTAACTCACCGCATAGCTAAACCGACTCACACAAGATGCAAATGCAAAATTAACTCTGATATCAAAAATTCAATTTATGTTCTGTTCTTTACAAATAAATTGTACTAACTAGTCAGACCTAGACATATTTCAAACTTCATTCTCTAGGCTGAAATAGATAACAACTGTGACAGCTGGAATATGCAATCGGAATGACACTGAAATGAACTGAAGGAAGAAGTTTCTTGGCATAGTCACACAGAAATGAACCAGGGGACAAAAGAAAGGACTAATAACTGGAATATACAGAGCATCTACCTTTGTCGAATTGTGGAATTCCACCAGTGGATCTTTCGGGCCAGGGTCATTAAAACCCCAGAAGCAACTACCCTGGGATTTCAGTTACCGGAAGCAAACATTCGGAAATAAGGTGTAGCGAAGTTCGTCTTTGTGGCGGCAATCACTCTGTGCTGGTTAGACTTGATCATCAAGCGATAGAAAATGCAACCGCCTTAACGGCGCGTCGCACGAATCTGATTCAGAAAGACAATTCATGGAAGTCGAACATATGATCAATGATCCGTTCTAGAGTTTTGGATAGCATATCTAACAAAAACAACGGTAGGTTTTGTTGTTGAGCCGTCCTTCAAGCAAATTACTTATTCACCCACTTTCAAGGAACCAGAACAGTTTTTAACCGTAGCACGATCAGCCAACGAAATTCATATGAAACCTTCTGTCATCATGAACAAGGTATTCTAAGTTCCGCAGCATTAGCTGCAACGACCTCATACTCCTTAACTGATAGCAGTAATGAATCACAATAACATCCGATTTAGGAGCAAAACTGCTCAACTGCAACAGCTGCTCTAAAACCCGGTACTAAACGAATCTCCTGGCAGAACAGAAAAAATAATTGCAAAAGCTGAACTACTTCGCTGAACAGGGCTGGAAAAATGGCATCGTTACCACTGGTACTGTAACGACTTTGCGTAGACAACGTGCATTGTGCTTGTATTAAAAAAAAGACACTTTTTGCTGTGTTTCAGAACAGTCAAAAAAGAAAAACCATTTTCGTTGCAACGTAAAGATACTCTGAAGTACTTTACGTGAACATCTGCCATTTCGTGTTCAGTATAGGATAGATAAACATGAACTGAAACCACAGTCAACTAAGAAGATCAAGAATATCACCCTTTACCATACCTTTTACCGCTTTCTTCTCGATTTCAGCTCTCAGATCTTCAGTATGTACCACCGTTTCCGCCTTTAGCTTTTTAAGCTCTTCGTCCTAATGCGAAAAGTTTAGACAAAATAAATTGGCTTGCTCCAGAATAAAAACTGGAAAAATAGTTACGTAATTATTTAAGCTGTGTAAAACAGTCACTGATATTAGCGATGCTTCCGCTCTCAAACAGTTTTTACATGAAGAATCACAGATGAAATAATCTGCGTATATTCTATAGAATGAACATCACCAAGCTTTCTGATTCAACGATTAGCGAATAAGCAAAAGACAGGTGTATATACAATGCTTAGCTATTACGGTGACAGCAGTGCTTAATCAACCAGTTAAACGAAATCTGTTTTGAGTAGATATTCATAGAGATTGTAATATCACTTCGAAAAGACATAAGCAGGCAGTAAATAATAATAGAGATAGCTGCGAGAAACTTTCGCAACCCTTTAGGAACAGCATTCCTTCCAAAGCGAAAATTAATTTATTTATGCTAACAAGGAACACCGTTCCGGGTTCCGAAAGCCTTGCGTAACTAACACATTTTTAGGCTTCTATCCGTCAATTTCCTTATTAATTTGCAATATCTTCAGCACCTTTAACATCAAGCAGAACAAAAATTTATTAGAAAAACGCAGTAATTAATGTATGCTTCGACTACACTGCACAGCTCTTCTTTATTATGGTCATATCTTATCTGGAAATACATTTATTAATCAATAAATGAAAACACGATTGAATGACTGGCAGTTTGATACTGCGAGAACAGTTCCCAACCCAGGTGAGAAAAACTGCACCAATCTGTTCAGAACATATACGTTCCTATAAAGGAGTACTTATTTTCATTTATCACGACAGCATCAGCAAATATTTATATTGACATAAACTGCATTCTGACTGCACGCCGGTCATTAGCATATTGATTGCTAACCTCAACACAACATAAAACAAGCTTTATCCGGGTGGCCACACTTTTTGCGTTGCCCACTACTAAACGGTGTTTTCTGCTACTTTCTGTGTGACCACTACTAAACCAGCAAGATGCGAACGAAATGCGAACCTGTGATTTCGGACATGCCACCGACAATTTTGAATGTCATACAAGCCATTATCACGATATATGTTGTAGTAACTGGCATCGCAGATTACAGCTGATATAATTACAGATACATAATGCATCTATAATGTTTAACGGATACAAAACCGCATTACTGAGTTGGGACAAGCAAACAGTTCATAGCCAAACAAAATCAATTTGTCAATAATTATACATATAGCTGCAACAGTTATACTCTGCACAAGGGGCGATGCTACACTTATGAAATCTGATCTTTAAAGAATTATGAATTATACATATATATTGACCGTAAAAGTTAAAAATTGGGTTTATAATACATGAAAAATATTGAGATCAGACAATGTTTTATGCCACAAGGACATCTCGCCCTTAATGACAGGGTTCATCACTATCGTCAAAGAAAATAATTGAACATGGATTACGCGTCAGGGTGACTATCATATTGAATAAGCAGCTATTAGCTGGGTCAAGGAGAACTGCATTCCTGTGAGGCGCTCGCATCAGACAGCACTGTCATCTCAGTTCTGGTATGCTACCCCTAGAGTTCATATGTGAATGATTTACTGCTATTCTGTTCGGCTGGTTGTACTGAAACAACCTGGCGTGAATTCCTGAATTTCTTGCTCAAAGGAATTCATGGTTAAGACAAAGATTAACTCTTCTCAGCAATTGAATCCGGCACCTACTAAGTTTGAAGCCGACCTCTTTGACACTGCGCCACCGCACCCAAAATTTGCATCGGTTATTGAACGTTGCAACAGTGGATAAAAGTTCAGCGCTAATTCAGTAACCTCCGTCACTAGTGCCACACGCAAATCATTAAAGTAATACGATGTGCCAAAATGCTGCTTTCCGCCTTGAATTGTGACAACTACTCTGGGCTACCAAACAGTCAGAAGCCAACTACCTCTCTGTCAGGCGTAAGATACGTCAGTACTTGTCTATCGTTCGATAAACAAATCACGCGCTTCGTACAATATAACTGCTCTAGTTGTCAAACCGACGGTTGCAGCATTTGCCTTAACACACGTTACCTACGCAACTCCGTAGTCTTTCCAACGCTATCTGCATTGACTTCCACGTCAAGCGTGGTCATCTCCTTCGTAGCGATGTAATTGTGCATATAGTCGAACGAACAATATGAGGCTCATGCAATATCTTCGGTAACAGCCAATGCATGACCATTCGAATTTCTTCTACCAGATCAGAAAAAAATCTGTCCATCAGCTGAACTCTACCTCATATGCAAAATCTCTTTCTTAGCGTGAATCCTCAGAGATTCAGACTCTAGCAGGCAGAATACCTCTTACTATACTTGGAATTAAATAATTTTCGTTTGCCTCGACTGCTTTTTTATCCGTTGCCTACGTGTTCCAGTCCTGATCTACTGTTGCTTAAAATTGTTTGTCCTTCGAGCATTCTATTCTTCTTGTTATTGGATTTGTTAATACTTTGTATGAACCTTATTCGACTGTTAAAACAACTTTTTAGATTGGTATTCACACAATGAATTTCACTTAACTGATTTTATGTAATAATTTTGTGAATGTAAAAATATTTCTTACCTTTTTCGAAACCTTTGCTTCCATGAGCAGACAATTCTGACCAAGTTGTTCTGCTTTGACTTGAAGCTGGTTCAGCTGTAAAATCAACTAATTAACGAAAACCAGGTAACTTTACAGTTTTAATTACTCCGGAAACTTAACTTAAGGGCAAAAAATTAACATAAATAAATGCATAGCAACAAAATCAATGACAGCAGAAGCAAAAGAAAACCCTCGTATAAGTTGTATGCTAAGAATACTACATTTAATGACATAATAAATATTCTTGCCATAGTGAAGCATATGATTCCATCGTTTCCAACCAAGCAGCAAAAGCACACATACCTGACTAGTAAGACTATATTTCTCTGCATTCAGCTGACTGTTAGCTTCGGCAATTTTCTGATTAAGCGCAAGGAGATGTTCTGCTCTGGAGCGGCAGGCTTCAGTTTCTTGTTCGCTGACATCACGTTCCTCCAGTAATTGCATCAATTCGTTGACTCGCTTCTGCAGTTCGACGTTCCTCCTTAAGGTTCACCATATCATATGTTTCGTTAAATGTCGCCAACCCTACTTTGAACTCTCGTTCAAGTCCAGATTGAGATGTTCTATTGACTGTCTCAAGGAGTTCGACTGCATGCGAAAACTTGAGTTCTCGTTCTCCAACTGGCTTATCTTTGTTTCTGCCTGCTGTAGCCGTTCTTGTGTGGATTTGATCTAAACTGGAGGCACAATATTTGCGAAAACCCGTGAAACAGTAATTTTCATGCCATTACATATTCAGGAGAAATATTTCAACAAAAATCGTTTTAACGACTGAGGAAGAAGTTTAACTTCCGGCCTTTCGACCTTCATCAATAAAGATATTTATAAATTCTTATGGAACTACATCGCAGTTAATCTTTGTCACTTTACTAATATGCCATTCAGTCGCTTGAGACGATAGAGGTCACAAAATCCAAATCATTTTCTCTGTCTGAGCCTTCCGCCTCCAAACAATGCAAAGATACAAAGATCTTTCACTGTGGAATCTTCCTGCTTCCTTTTTAGCGGATACCGATCTGTTAAAAAAACACATCAGTCTATCGTCACGTCGATGTGTAAGGTGTATTATCCATCTCAATTAGCTCCTCTGGCAAAATGTTTCTCACTCCAGTTATCTGATGAATATGTTCATTCATTATTCGATCCTCTCTGGTGGGCCCCAGCATTCTCCTTTCCATGAACTGCCTTGTTCTTCATATTGCTTGGTTATGGACCAATCTCACTCCCCAGACAGTGTTGCACATAGTATCCAAAGGTTGGTTTTGAAACTGGAATCGAAGTCATTCTATGATCTTATGTACGGCGTTGTAGCTCTGCTAGCCAGCTTTATTTTGCCTCAAAATTTATCCTTTCATGTGATACTGCCTGCTACTCTGTGGCCCCAGAATTACGCAGTTCATGGCCTCAAGCCCTTACTTTCCTCTTCTTTACTTAAATCGTTGGTGATATACTGCTTATCGCGAGATTCATGCGGACATGAGATTCTTGCTTTCGTCAGTGAGAGGGCGTAGCATCCCACTCACACTGCAGCAAAGGTTTGCGATTATCACGTCATTAGTAAACCTTGATCAGTTTCATCGTCTTCGCTTACGTAAGAAGTTACTTGCTTCCGTATCACTTCCTAAATAAATTTCCTTACGCTTATCATATGCCTTTTGAGTGGAACGCATTTGTTATCAAGCAACTGACATTTACATGATTTTGTGAAACATCATTTGTCATGTGATAACCACGTGATATGACAATTCGGTGTGGCTCCATATTCACGCAATGTCATAAAAACTCACTGCCGCACCCTGATCTACACAGCTTTCAGTTACCTTCAACCTGCGCATCTAACAGCTGGCCGCTTTATGAACTTTGCGACGATGGGAACAAAACTGCACTGTTATGCTGCCGTTGCCGCAAGCCTATCAACAATGTGCTGACTTGCAGGATGAAACGCCCCTGTCACAGGTCAAACAACGCTTCCAAATGGTAAAGAAAGCGGCCGCGCGCATTGCAAAAATCTCGGAGCTGTAAGAAATGATACACTAAACCAGAAGTTGTTTTTTTTATCATTCCGCAGTTACGAAAGATTAACAGAGCTTAAACAGCAGAATAACCCCAATTTATGCTGACTTTTACAAATGATATCTCAGTTCATATTCCTCGTCGCGAGCATGTCTGCTTCAACGAAGTGTTTCCATGTTTTGAGTTCTACTCCAACGCGTCTATGGCCATTTGGCGGTTCCCACGTGATAAAAGCTTTCAAAAGAATTTTATTATTTTTGGGCCGTTATATCAAACTAAGCCAGATGCCGGTCTCTGAGTTAGTCTGACACATTTCTAAGACCGCTGATCATCAACATCTACTCATTCGTGACTATGCCATTGCACCTGGAGGATACATCTTCGACAGGGTTATTGGGACAAGTTTAAACGAGTTTCACCAAGTTCAGGACAGCAGATATTCCGAACTGTACCTACCTCCATTGTTTTGTAAATGCTTTTGACTGTTTTAAGCTGGTTGTATAACCCGTTGCATATTTCTACACGTCAGCAGTGCAGTTAGCACTGAGCGTCGGGAAAATCTTTTAACAGTTCTTTCTTCTCTCCGTTTTGATCCAAATACTGTTCTATGATAAGTCAGCGATAACAATTCACTTTGCTGAACTAATCAACTTCGACTGAGTAAAACTGAATAAGTTTAATAAATATACAGCATCAGAAAGATCATGTTTAAAGTGCAAATATTAGAACTCTCACATTATGGTTTTTCATCTCTGCTGTATCGGGCAACTTTGATTCAGGAAGTTCTTTGATTTCACGGACCTAAAAATCGTATTGCTGATAAGCGAAAACAGATCGAACAAATAAAACATACATTTATTTTTTCCAAAACTTCTCCGTCCTCTCGCAACCTCTTGAGCTGTTTTTCTAAGTTTTCGACGTCTGTCCTCGACTTCTAAACAATTAAACACCGTTTTTAAATGATAACCTGCAATGTTGTTAAAAAATATAACCCCTCAGGACGATTCCAATGAAATTAAATACTTCCCATCTGTCACGGAAGCTACAATTAAACAACTGACAATTGCAAGCAACACGTCAATCATTGGCTAAAGAAATAATTAGTGATTGTTGTTTCGTAGTTGTGAGTACATATTTGGTCAGGTTTACGATTAACCACACTTTCCATAATAAACGTGATTTGCGTTTTGCTATATTACGCAATTAAACGCTAACTGCATCACTGCCAAGACTGATATACATGACGGTTTACTGTAAGAGCTCTGCATTTAGCGAAAAATCATTTTAGCTTATGGGAAGAACACAATACAATGCATTCCTTAAAGCACCATAGCGCCTTGCCCTGCTGGATACGGTAGGCATCTAGTAGCAGCGAAGAAATGTCATTATGCCGTGCTACTCGACTAGGGTTTATTGTGCTTACGAGTCATCCCAGTCCTGCAAAGCTGCTGCCTTCAAACATGCAAATAAAACCACCTATTCGTTGAAGCAAAATGCAATATAATAAACTTGCCAGGGTGATAAACTGCCTAGGATATTTTGGCATGTAGTTCACAGACTATTTGCATATATGTACATATAAGTACCATCAGTATGCCTGTCACCCATGACTGTGATGATGGGCATAGTATATGAGAACTTCAAGATTATTACAAAAAATGCTACAGAAAGCAACCTTGATTTCGTCGGCTGAGAGATCGTTCACCATAAAGAATATTTTTAAAAACTACAAAAGCACTATGTTAACCATTTTATACGGGATGAAAAGCATTGAGAAACAAGCTGAT